TTTTTCTAATATTGAACCATTCTTGCATACCTCTTATGAATCCCATTTGGTCATGATGAATTTTTTTTTATGTGCTTTCGGATTCTATTGGCTAGGATTTTGTTAAGGATTAATTTTTATCTATATTCATGAGAGATATTAATCTGTAGTTTTCTTTTTTGGTAATATCTTTGCCTGGTTTTGGTATTAGCATTATGCTTACATCATAGAATGTATCTAGGAGTATTCCTTCCTTTTCTATATTTTGAAATAAGTAAAATTAGTAATAAATATTCTCTATATGTTTGGTAGAATTTGGCTGTGAAACCATCTGGTCCAGGACTTTTCTTACAGGGAATTCCATTTTATGACCTGCTCAATTTCTTCTTTTGTGATGGATCTGTTTAAGTGTTCTGCACCTGACTATGCCAATAAGGACAAGGAATGAGTTTCAAGGAATTTGTCCGTTTCCTCTAAATTTTCAAATTTATCCAAATATAGCATTTCATAATATTCTGATATTATAGATTTCATTTCCTCTGGTTCTGTTGTGCCATCATCTCTATCATTCCTTAATTGAGTTATTTGTGTCTTCTCCTTGTGGTTTGTCAATTTTATTGACCCTTTTCAAAATACCATCTCCTGGTCTTATTGACTGCTTTCAGTGTTCTATCTTTATCCTTTAATTTGGAAAATTTGACTATGTCTTGACGTTTTCCTTTTGGGGCCTAGTCTATTTGGTGTTCACTGAACTTCCTTGTTCTTCATAATACCTAGAAAGGTTTCTTCTAATACCTCTTCCAAAATTTTCTCAGGCATTTCCCTATCACTCTCATCTTCTGGAAGTCCAATCATACATATGTTATTCTTTTTTATGTCATGCCACAATATTCTAATATTTTCTTCATTTTTGTCTCTGATTTTTCTTCTAGTAGGTTTCCATTGAGGTGCTTGTCTTTTTTTTTTTTTTTAGGTGCTTGTCTTACAGCTCACTGACTCTCCACTTCATCTCTTCTATCCTACTTTATTTTTCTTTCAAGTGTGTTGGACACTTTTGCCATTTCAATCTTATTGTTCTGGATTGCATTTTTCATGCTATTCTGTTATTTCTAGTACTGTGTTGACAGTACCCTCTCTATCTAGTGATAATTTAAGTTCCTGTACCTCTTTATCTATAGTTTCAATTCTTTCTTCCATTGTTTTCCATTTTCTCACCCAAATTTGTGCAAGTTCTTCCTTATTAATATATTTCTTCTGGCTCCCTGTCTCTGAAGCACAAAGTTCATGAAGTTTGTATACATCGTTTTTCACACAAGATCGAGTTCAAGGATCCCAGGTGGGGAGCGGGTTGGTGGTGTTGCTTAATCATAGAATTACACAATTTGATGGGTGGAGGGAGGGATGGGTTTCTGGAGCATTTGCTTTCTTGTTGGTTTACATTGTTTCTTCCATAATAAGCACCTTCTTCCATAGCTATTCAAATAACTCTTCATCAATACATTTTTTCTAGTTCTCTACCTCTAAGTTATTCCCTTTATTTGTGGCTTCCAATATTTCTTCCATGGTTTGTACTTTTATTGATAACTGTTCAATGGTCTCCATATTAATGTATAACATCTGCCTTCATTTATCATCTGATTTCTTTATTCTGAAGTATTAATGAGGTCTCTGATTTTTTTTTTGCTTTTTTAGAGAAGACTTACTTTGTTTTTTCAGTGTTTGAAGCTGCTCTTTGCTTTCTTGACATTATGTGAAGTTTTTCTTGATAAGTGTTAGGTTGTTTCTATTGTGTCTGCAAAAGTTGGTGGGGATTTTGCCTTTATAATGTTACTAATTAGTTGCCAAGTTAAAATGTGGTGAGCTGTTCACTCCACTGTAAGTTCTATTGGGGAAAATACAACTTTCCTAAAGTCCCTGAGGTTCACTCTGTTCTGCATTCTAGCCCTATAGGAATCTATGCTTGAAGTAGTCCTCTGACACAAACTCTGCAGGCCTCCTTCATATATGAAGTGGCTGAGTGGTGTGAGACTAGGTGCTCTACTCAAGCTGTTTTTCACACACATTTTCTCCTGGAGCTTAATGTCTTTCTTTCTCTCTGGAGTGGCACAAGATTAGAGATCAGGGTTGGCAGCTTACGTAGCTTATGTGCAGGGGGTTTCAGGTCAGCCCTCTTTCTCTCTCTTGAGAGCTACAAAATTTTTCCCCTCTGCTTGATGTTCTGTATACTAAAGTCTCTCTTCCTGTTTGGCGCCTGGAATGGCCCCTCAGCCTCAGAGGAAAGGAGCCCTAGATGGAGGGACCTTTAACTCCAGGGGTGCCGCAGTCCTGTCTTCCCACAAGCCTCAGAGAGAGAGAGAGAGTGAGTGTGTGTATATGTGTATGTATATGTGTGTCTCTCTGTGTGTATTTTTAAATATATGTTGCATTACCAGCACTGAGTCCCTGTATAGTCAATACAATTAAGCTTTCAACTACTTCCCAAAAAGTCAGTAGTTTGTAACTACCCAGAGAAGTCGAGTCTGGAAAACTGAATCCAGAGGATGACAGACTTGAGAACCCTAGGGAATGCAGTTCTACTTTGCACACAGGAAGCCACCATGAACCTTACTTAGCTCAACAGCAACTAACAATATTATAAGCATACAGTTGACCTTCTGGTATTGTTGTTAGGTGCCATCAAGTTCACTATAACTCACAGCAACCCTATAAACAACAGGTCAAAACCATGCCTTATCCTGTGCTGTCTTCACATATCCACCATTCTCAAGTCCACTGTTGCAGTAACTTCATTCCATCTCATTAGGGTCCTCCTCTCTTTTTGTTAATCCTTTATCCTTCCCAATATAATGCTTTTTTTCAAGGACTGGTGCCCCTGACAAGACACCCAAAGTATGTGAAAACAAGTTTCACCATCCTTGCCACTAAGGAACAACCTGTGTGCACCTCCTCTAGCACATATTTATTCGGTCTTTTGGCAGGCTATGCTATATCAATACTCTCTGTCAACACTACAACTCAAAGGTATAAATTATTTTTTTTGTCTTCTTTATTTTATGTCCAACTTTCATAACCATATGAAGCAACTGAAAATACCATGGCTTAAGTGAGGCATATCTTAGTGTTTAAATGGACATCCTTGTTCTTTAGTACTTAAAAAAGGTCGCCGATAGCAGATTTTCCCAATGCAATATATATTTTTATTTCTTTACTGTGACTATTATGTTTATTGATTGTATATCCAAGAAAAATAATCAATGATAACCTCATTTTTCCCCTGTTTATCATTTTGTTGCCCAATGGACCAGTTATGAGAATTTTTGTTTTCTTTATGTTGAGGTGCAGTCTACTCTGTTGCCTTTACTCTTTTATCTTTTTTGATGGATGCTTCAAGTCTTCTTCAATTTCTGCAAGCAAGGTTATGTTGTCTGCATACCACAGGTTGCTGATGAGTCTTCCTCCAAACCCAAATCCTTCCTCCAATTCTTCTTCATATAATGTAGCTTCTTATTTATTCAGACTATCAAATTATTTTTTTTACTTTTTCTTAAATCATTTGTTCATCACACATATTAAATAGGTAAAGTGAAAAAATCCAACCCTGTTACACATTTCCTGGTTTAAATTATGCAGTATCTTCTTGTTCTAGTCCAGCAACTGCTTCTTGATCTATGTACAGGTTCTGCATAAGTATAATGAAACATTCTGAAATTCTCATGCTTCTCCGTATTATCCATAATTTGCTATGAACCACACAGTTGAATTATTTTGTTTGGTCCAACAAAACACAAGTTAACATCTTTTTAGTAATTTCTGCTTTCAGCCAAGATCCATCTGGCATTAGCAACAATGAGCCTCATTCCAAATATCTTGAATCCAGCTTAAATTTCTAGAAGTTCTCTGTCAATGTATGACTATAGCCAGTTTTAAATAATCATCAGCAAGATTTTATTTGCTTGTAATAATAATGATATTGTTTAATAATTGCCACATACTGTTAAATCAGATATTTTGGGGGATGGGAGCAAATATATGTCTCTTCCAGTCAGTTGGCCATGTAGCCACCTGTCTTTCAAATTTCATGGCATAGACTAGTGAGCAAGTCTAGGGCTGCATCTGTTTGTTGAAACATGTCAACTGGTATTCCCTTAATTCCTGGATCCTTATTTTCTTGCCTTTACCTTAAATAAAGTTTGAACTATTTTTCATTCATTACCATTGGTTCTTGATGATATGCTACTTCCTGAAATGGTTCAGTGGTGACCAAATCTTGTTTGGTACAGTGAGTCTATGTATTCCTTCCATCTTTTTTTTTTAATTATTATTAGTTTGCTTACAAAGTTTGTATACATTATTTTTCACCCTATTCTTCATTCACAATGTGTTTCATACACTCATTCTCCTGCATTTTGTTTTATAAAATTAATCACCATTGGACCTTATCCATCATTACCCTGTCTTTTCACTCGGATCTCTCCCACCTTCTTTTCATGCTTCCTGTATCATTAAAGATTTTGCCCATAGGATCCTTCAGCGTTGCAACTTGAGGCTTGAATTTTTCATGTTTTTCAGTTTGTGAAATGATTAACTGAGTGTGTTCTTCCCTTTCAGTTTTCCAACTCCAGGTCTTTGCACATTTCTTTATTGTACTTTGTCCCTTGATTTGCCCTTTGAAGTCTTCTGTTCCACTTTCTTATTTCAGTATTTCTGTCTGCCCTTTGCTTTAGTTTCTCTACACTGAAGAGAAAATGTTTTTACAACTATACTCTGAAATGGTACAGGATAAATAAACAAATGTTTTAAACATTTTAAACATTGTTTTAAAATCTGAGATAAGTTTCTGCTAAAGAAACTTTACAAGTGTCAATTTAGATAATGAACACAAGATGGTTTTGATTAGGTGTTAAAATGCTGTATAATCAACTGACTTTGGATTCAGAGAGTATATATTAGAACTCCAGCTCTGGCCTCAGAAAACAATCTGGACAATTCATCTTCTAGATCTGAATGAAATACAAAGACACTTACCCAACTGACCACATTGCACCAAAGAGACCTGACACGAGTCCCAAAGTGCTTAATCCCTCCTCAAATCCATTTTCACTGTGGGGGGCAGGGGAGAAGAGTATATTTGTTATTAAAAGGGCAGTCCGTGTGAAAAAAAAAGAATGACAGATAAATAAGTGGAGATAAACCAGGGGTGGTATGGACAAAGCCAACAGCAGAAATACTCTAAAATTAAAAAAAACAAGCATAAACCTTTTTCAAGAACAAAAACTTTTCACATTATGTTTACACTATGGTTTTCTAAAAGTAATATGACTGACTGCATAAGACACAGATATAGATATGGGTATAGAGACAGAGATTCCAGAGGCAGGCCTTCATTCCTATGAGATTTACAGGGCTCTGCTGAGCCACAGGTCGCCCAGCTCCTCACGCTTACTTTGCTCATGTTGTTCATCATGATATCTTATTTTAAAAAAGACTGATGACTAAGTCACAGACATCTGGTCACTCTCTGTTTTTATGGATATTCTCTAGGAAACAGGAACATGGCTGGAGCCTTCTTATTTTGCTTTTAAAAATTACATATACACCAAGGCATCAGCCAACCAAGTCTTTATTCCTCAATCATTTTACCTACTGCTGTACTAATATTACTATATCTTACATCAAACTAAAGGCATGCAGCTCAAATCCACAGGAGAAAGACAGAGCCTCTGAAAACCTGCAGGAGGGTTGGCTATGAGTCAGTTCCTACTCACCTAAATATAACAACTTAAGTGAAAATATTCTTGAAAGAGTGATTTCTTCAAGACTTAATATTCAGGAAGAACAGTATCTGACGTGGTATCTTCCCCACGGAGAAATTTAAGACAGCCTGTAACACTCACAGTGGTTCCCAAGACAGCTCTCTGAGTATTAGAAAGCACTTACTATGCACAGCTGAGGATCTCCGGGAATGTTGGGATTATACTCATCCCAGAAGAGACGCCAACAATGACCAATACCAGCACCAGCAGCCAGAGCTGACTATTTTAACAGTTTTAGAGTGGGGGAAAAAAAAGAAGAATTACAATTTTAAGAGACATAAAAAGTTAGTAAGACAGAAACCTAGAGAAATTTGTTTCACTGATTTCATAGCTAAGCCTCTTGCTGAGAAAGCCTTTGCGAGGGGCAATGGTTAACACTTCCAGTATCTATCTATATTCTGAAGAGTCTGCTCCACCTAGAGGTTCCTCAGAAGATAAGTCCTGGTCAACAGAAAAATCAGCAATTGACTGTCCAGTAGAGCATACTCCTGCTGGGACACACATGTGCTCACCACGGAAGTCATCTGAATGCCAACCAGTTCAGATTCTCCAGATATCTCACTGGTTTGCAGATACATAACACTGCTGGGTATGTAACCTTGGCTGTGAATACAATTCAAGGCGATGTGTTTTCTTGGAAGAATAGAAGACTCTGTTTCTCAACAGTCCTCATTCCCTTCTGATCCCAATTATGGGATCTTTTAGCTCCATGTATTTGGATAAGGGGTATTGTAAAAGGATAACCACATCCTCCTGCCTTCTCACCATAAAATATCCTTTCAAATTGGTGAAAAATGTCAAAGTTAATGCTGTGCCTTCATCAGCTTAGCTTTGAAATTCAACTGACTGGAAAATGGATTAAAATTTGAGTTAACACGTTGCCGCAAATGATGGCAAAATGTGTTTCTAAGCACGGTCGTCAATTTAAAAGTGTGCAGCAACGTGTTAAAAAAAAAAAGATATTACTTTCTCTACAATCAATTCGTACAACCACTCTGGGATGTAAGTATAATTATCAACTTCTAGGGTGCTTCTTATGGAACTCTGGTGGCTTAGTGGTAAGAAGTTGCACTGCCAACCCAAAGTCATGCAGTTCAAATCCACCAGCGGTTCCCCGCAGGAAAAAGATGAGCAATCTCTTCCCATATGATTAACTGCCTCTGAAAACCTGCTGGAGTGTTTGGTCAACTATGGGTTAGTTCCAGCTTGGTGGTCCACAACAAAAAGAGTGCTTTTTAGAGGCAAGGATGGTGAAGTTTCATCTTACACGCTTTGTGTATGCTGCAAGAAAAGGCTGTTTCTTGGAAGGGGGCATCATGTTTGGAAAGTTGGAGGGTCGGCAAAAGAGAAGAAGACCCTCAACAAGATGGATTGATACAGTGACTGCAGCAATTGGCTCAACTGTGTCGGAGATGATGAGGATGGCATATGACAGAACATGGTTCAGATCTGTTGTTCATAGGGTTGCTATGACTTGTACTTGACTCAACAGAACCTTACAACATTCAGAGATAGAAAACTGAGGCTCTTGCAAGTCAAGTGATTTGTTCAACTGATAGTAAGTCTGAATGACTCTTTCCATCTCTACTCTTTATCTGGGGAAAAAAAGCCTAGGGAACTTATCTTAATACATTTATTATAATAAAAAAGACAAATATCTGGTTCCTTCCTTGAGGAGCAAGGAGAAAGTGTAGTGGGAACAAATACACATACTAAGGATATCAAATAAAGGTAAGCAGTAACATACACCATTTAGGGGGGAAAGCATCAAAATAAACTATACACAAGTATGAAAATGAAACACAGATTAAGCAATCTTCTCCTCTGACACACACTGTATGTCTTGCTATTTGCTTTCCAGAAACTTTGCCAGCTTAGTGGTAAGTAGTTGCACCACCAACCAAAAAGCTTATTGTTCAAATCTACGAGTTGCTCCATGGGAAAAAATTGTGCCATTTTCTCCTCACAAATTACTGTCTCTGAACATCTGCTGGAGGGTCAGCTATGAGTTGGTTCCAAGACCACGTTATGTAACAACATTTGTCTGCAACACTGCTAGTTTCTCGCAAAAAAAAATAAAAATACTGCCAGTCTCATGAACAATTCGACATAGTCTTGAAAGAAAGTAATTATTTACCATTAAGTTTCAAAATACCAAGCCACCCAGGCATATCCAAATTATTAAAAAACAGTTTATAATGCTATTAGTCTAAAATTACAGAGAGGGGATAAAAACAATTACCTTTTAACGTGCAAGAACGGTACAGGACCTAAGAGCATGTAGCAGCCAGCTGTGGTGATGTTTCCAAAAACCAGAAGCCATTTCCGCAGATGCTGATCAAGAGAAACAAGAAATTAAAGAAATTCTGAGGGAGAAAAACACTCCCTCACAAAATAACATTTAAAAGTATTAAAGAACACAAATTGTGTTATTAAAAATTTTTTTAAAAATTCCCCCATTGACTCAAATAAAGTGCAAAAATAAAAATTAATTTAAAAAAAAACACAACAAATAAACCAAACCCACAAATATATTAAAGAACCCAGCAACAATAGCAAAGTTCAACAGAGCAGCAAACAACAAATGCTGGCAAGGTTGTGGAGAGATTAAAACCCTTATTCACTGCTGATGGGAGTCTAAAATGGTTCAACTATTTTGGAAAGTGGTTTAGCACTTTCTCAAAAAGTCAGAAATAAAAATACCATTCGACCCAGCAATTACATTGCTGTGAATATACTCTAAAGAAACCAGAACTGTCATCCAAACAGATGTATGCACACTTATGCTTAATGCTGCGTTATTCACAACAGCAAAATGATAGAAACAATCCAAATGTTGATCAACAAATGAACGGACAGAAAATCATGCAACACTGAAAAATAATGACCTCATAAAATGTTACACGACATCGGTGACCTTGGAGGACATTATGCTGAGTGAAATGTCTCAGTTTCAAAAGGACAAATACTGTGTAACACCACTGTTATAAAGTAGGACTGAAATTGAGGGGTTGGGAGGAGAACAGAGAAAGAGTGGGTAATGAACACGGTATTGGAACAGATGAGGGAGAGAACTGTTTAAAAGGAATATATGATTAGGCAATATATGTAAGACAACGGTCCAGAATAAAAGGTACAATTCAAAGGGGACTGGGGGATGAGATGGGAAGAGGGGAAGGGAGAAAATTGTGCAACAATGAATGTTTTTTAAGAAGAAAGTGAACGGAGAGGGGAAAGAGAGGGAAAGGAAGGAAAATGTGCAACACAGAATGAATGAAAATTTTTTTAAAAAAAATTACATCCTGGGCGGGGGGAAAGATATTTATTAAAGAATATTGGGGAGCTCTGGTGGCCTAGTAGCAGGAAGCTGCACTGCAATCCTGAAGGTGTGTGGTTTAAATCCAGCAGATATTCCATTGGAGAAGGAGGGGAAATCTCTTCCTCTACCATTTGGATCTGATCTGATGGTACACACACAAAATAAAAAAAAAACCCAAAACAAACAAACAAGAAAACCAAAATGAACTTCAGACTTCAGAGAAAGCACATGCATGAGAAAGTTAAAGGCAATGTCTGAGTAGTGAGGTATAAATTATTACCAGACACAAGGGAGCAATGGAGAGCAATCCCTTGGAAAAGAAGCATATTTATTGAGATTTATTACACGAGGAAGCTACTCAAAATTTAAGCACCAGATTCCACATTTCAAAACCCACCCACTAGATCAATGGTGATTAATTTTATAATATACAATATTTATGAGTGGTCATTTGAAACACAAAGTGAATATAGGAATGCATGAAATACAGTATACATGAATGATATACAATGTATACAAATGTTTTATGCAAACTTATATAAAACAAAAATAAAATAGGGGGAATAACTCTACCTACCAAGCAGGTATAATGCATAGACAAGTCACATTATTAATAAAATTATTTATCATAAAGTGTTTTGAATGTAGGCTGAAAATCACATGGATTTATAATAACTGCTCAGTTATATATGTCTTTGTCTCAAAGCCAAATTCTAAACAGTAATGGGATTGCAGCGCAGATTCTTACCATTAGGCCACCAGGGCTCCCTATTTACTTTTGGTCACCTAGAATTACCAAGAAATCGTCATGAGATTCGCATTTTGCTAAATTTATATGAAAATTAATTTTAAAAGACAGTAAAGCCATAAATGTTTGGGACTGTGTGACAACATGACTAGTGTGTACACTGGTTATCTACACTTATGGGTTTAGACCAATTAAAGGAGAAGAGATTTTCTATCAGGATCATTGTAGACATAAAAGGCTGATATGTAATAATGCAAGAGTCCTGAGGAGGCAGTGGTTAAAAGTTTGGCTGCTGAGTGATAGGGAATGGCAAAGGACACACTGACAAAGAAGATTAATCAGAACTGGCTTTGACAAGCACTGTGGCATTTGGACAAGAATAAACTGGGAGGAGGGTAGAGAGAATGGTGCAGCAGTGAATGAATGGAAACCCAAAATCTCTGTAAATGTTTATGAAAATTAATAAAATATAATTATAGAGACAAAAAAAAAAGTTTGGCTGCTAACTGAAAAGCTGGCTATTTAAGCCCACCAGCTGAGCCCTAGGAGACAAATGTGGCAGACTATTCCTGTAAGTGAACTTGAAACTTTGGGGAAGTTCTATTCTGACTTAGAACTGACCTGATGGCAACAGCTTTCAAAGATAATCAGGGCACACTTACATGGCCAACCCTCTGAAGCCCACAGAAATTTTGATCAATTTCTCTAAGTACAATTGAGCCTCTGCCTTAATTTTAAAAACAATGCTATGGTTTCCCCTTCAAAATCCATATCATGCATTTTCCCCCCCTACAAGTTGTCTAATCCAATGATTTTCAACATTTTTGGGATAAGATGCTCTTTCTCCAAATCAAACAGTTAAAAGTGAATCTGCTCAAGGTGCTCCCTTCTTGTCACTCAAATAATAGGTTACTTCTAATCAATGGACCCACAGAGCAGGTGGAAAACCACTGGTTTAAACATACAAAAGCAATTCTTAAACATGAATCAGGTGTACGTACTGGCATTTTATCACTTAGTAGACCAAATAAAGGTGAAGAAATTGTGTAACTCAGTGCCAAGCCCAGGAACACCAGCCCCACATATCCAGCTGGCAAATTAAACTATAAAAGAAAAAAAAAAGGCTGAATTTAATCACATGATTAAAAAATTATGAAGATAAGTATCAATCTTTTTTTGCTTTATTCTTATTGTTATAAAGTTATAGCCTGTGTCAACTTTTTTACATGTACAATTCAATGAGACCAATCATATTGTGCACACATCACCGGTTGTTATTGTTGTTGTTAGGTATCATCAAGTTGACTACGACTCACAGTGACCCTGTGAACAATAGTTCTGAACTCTGCCCTATTCTGTGCCATCCTCTTCATCTGCCACACTTGAGTGCTCTGTTACAGTCACTATGTCAATCCATCTCTTTGGGAGTTTTCCTTCCTTAGCTGACCCTCCACTTTTCCAAGCATGACGTTCTTTTCCAAGGACCCACCCCTCCTAGTGATATGCCCAAAGAATGTGAGGTAAAGTTTCACCATCCTTCCCTCGAGGGAACACCCTAGATGCACCTGCTCCAAGACTCATCTGTTTTCTTGGCAGTTCATGAGATACTTAGTACATGTCTCCAAACCACAGTAAAAGACTTTGATTCTTCTGTCCTCTTTATTCACTGTTCTAGTCTCAGATGCATAGAAGTAATAGAAAAAACAAACAAACAAAAAAACATAGCTTGTATCAGGAGCCCCTTTGTCTTTAATCTGACATCTTATGCCAGAAATGAAAATGTAAGGAAGAAGGTTGCTTTCATAGCCAAAAAGACCACTACAAGATCTATCATAGGAGAGAAGAGATCTATCATGGAGTGCAAGGCTGAGTGATAGGATAATATCTAAGCATTTATATACAAGGAAGACCTACTGATAGAACCATTATCCAAATACACTAAACCTACAACTACACCTACAAATAAAGCCAAAGATGATGAAATAAATGATTTCTACAAACGTCTGCAGTCTGAAATTGATTGGAAAAAACCATGCAATTAATATTCATTAATAATAATTCGTGTCTGAAATGCAAAAGTCAGAAACAAAGAACATTGCAAGAATTCACATCAAATTTTCCAATCACCATTGAAAGATATATTTTCTAATAACATTCTCCAATTTTTCCTTTCTGTTTTACTTTTGTAAACTGTTTACTTTTTATCTATTTTGTAAAATAATCCCAAGAAGTAGTCATTAATATTAGGCAAAAGACTTCCTTTTTTTTTTACTTGCAGCATTTTACATTAAATATATAATTTTTTTTCCTATGTAGGCATGGTGTTTGTATACAGGTCAATGTTTTGGGCACGTAGCAAAAAGTTTTTTGTTTTGTACTGAATTAGATCCCTAACTCAAAGGGATGACTCCAAGGAGCACAGGCCATGTTAACGAGTCATTCCTTTCTGACTTCGTCTCATAGGGCTCAGAGGTCCTTCCACAATCAGGGCTGATACTTATGGAAGACATCACTGAGCTCTTCAGCCTACTTACCTTATCTAAAACAAAGAGAGACAGTGTAGGGTCGAGGAAGCCAAAGCCTGCGCTGAGTGAATTGATGACAAAGGCTAACAGGGCGACCCTGGGCAAAGTGATGAGCTTCCAGAAGGAGTGTGTGCCTGGATCAGTCTCTTTGGGACCAAGGAAAGAGAAAGATGACATAAATCTTAGTGATTAAAATCTCTTGACTTTCAAAACTAAATAACTACCTCTCTAAGCTTAAGCTATAATTGCATGTCTGCATTTGCGTCTGCTATTCAAATCTAAAACATATATTCAACTCTCTTAAAAATAATTTGCCAAATTAAAAAAGAACCAACTACAGTTTGAGTGTGAGGAGTAGCAGGGGTCTTCAGTCATAGCTTACAACCTAGATGCAAGTAATGCACAGGTGAGACAGAGAAAATAAACGAAGCCTGATTTGGCAGATGAGAGAAGCAATGCCAGAAGTTGTGCCAAGGGTGTGGGGGGGTGTGTGTGTGTGTGTGTGTGCGCGCGCGCACACACACACACACATGAACACGACGAATGAACAAGATTTAATTTAAAAAAACCCCACAGAATATATACATTTTCTATTGGCAGACAAAACACTGAATTGAGAAGGGTCACATGAAAGAACATACGAACTACCTTTGACATTCAAGGTTAGGTGAATGCTAACCTTATGTCTAATATTCCCCCAAGAGTTATCCCGTATCTTCAACGTTTCAAGCATCAGACATGACTGCTTCCTAGCCTTCTGTCATGTTGTTGTTGTTGTTGTTATGTGCCGTCGAGTCGTTTGCGACTCATAGCGACCCTATGCACAACAGCCCTAAACCCTGCTCTATCCTGCGCCAACCGCACTGCCTCTGACACACCCATCCCGATTACCCCAGTCACAGTGTCAATCCATCTCATAGAGGGTCTTCGCCTCCTGCCCCGTCCCTCCACCCTCCCAAGCATGATGTCCCTCTCCAAGGACCCGTCCCTCCTGGCAACATGTCCAAATTATGTCAGATGAAGCCCCAGAATCCTTGCCTACAAGGAGTAGCTTGGTTTAATCCTCTCCAAGATGAATCTGTTTGTTTTCCTGGCAGTCCATGGTACATTCAGTACTCTTCTCCAGCACCACAGCTCAAAAGCATCCTTCTGTCCTCCCTAGTCATTGTCCAACTCTCTGATGCATAACAAACGATTGCAAAGACCATGGCCTGTATCAGGCGCACCTTAGTCTCCAGAGAGATACTGTTGCTCCTGAGTACTTTAGAGAGGTCCCTAACAGCAGACTTTCCCATCGCGATACGCTTTTTGATTTCCTGACTGCTGGTGCCAAGAGTGTTGACTGTGGAGCCGAGCAAACTGAAGCTGTGAACAATCTCAATCTCTTCGTCATCCATCCTGATGCTGCCAATTGGTCCAGTGGTGAGAATCTTTGTCTTCTTGACATTGAGCCTCAGTCCATACTGAAGGCTGCAGTCCTTGACCCTTCGCAGCAAGTGCATGAGGTCTTCCTCAGTTTCAGCAAGCAGGGTTGTGTCATCTGCGTAACGCAGATTGTTAATAGATCTTCCACCAATCCTGATGCCACAATTCTCCTCATAGAGCCCAGCCTCTCGGATAATCTGCTCTGCATACATGTTGAAAAGGTATGGAGACAGGATGCATCCCTGGCGCACACCTTTCCCAATTTTGAACCATGCAGTGTTACCCTGCTCTGTTCTGACTACTGCCTGTTGGTCCAAGTATATATTTATTTCTGCATTCCTTACTTTCCAAAGTCCATTCACTCTCCAAAGTCTGGCTTTGGTTATAATTCTTACATAAAATTCACAATTCTCTGGGTTCCCATTCTATTTCTAGTCATTGCTGTTACGTGTCAATGAGTAGTTTCCAGCACACACAGAGCGACCTTATGTACTAACATCTTGAAACCCCACAAGGGCCTGCACTAGCCTCACAATCAGAGCCCATTTTTACAGTCACTGTGTCATTCAAGCGCAATCAAGTGAAACTCGGTCTTACATACTTTGGGCATGTTGTCAGAGAGGCCAGTTCTTGGATAAGGTATCGTGCTGGGAAAGACAGAGGGTCAAGGAAGGAGAGTAAGACCTTCAACAAGATGAACTGACATAGTGATTGTAGCAATGGGCTCAAGCAAGCTGGAGGTCATGGAGACTGCACAGGACCAGGGAAGGTTCTGATCTCTATGTTGCTCACAGTCAACTCAACATCACATAACAACTACTTTCCCAAGCACGAAGTCCTTCTCCAGGGGACTCTCTTGACAACATGTTCAGAGTACACCAGATTACGTTTCCCCATGTCCCCTTCTAAGGAATATTCTGGCTGTACTTTTCCCAAAACATCTGATCATTTTTCTGGAGTTCCACGGTTTATTTTAATTTCTTTGCCAATATCATAATTCAAATGCATCAATCCTTCAGTCTTACTTGTTGCACACATATAAGGTGACTGAAAATATCATTGCTTAGTCCTCAAAGTTACAGCTTTGCCTTGTAACCATTTGGAGAGGCCTTTTGCATTATTTTCTTTCTTGCCTGCTGTAGACTTTCAAAAAGATGAACCAGCACAGTGCCTGTAACAATGGGCTCAAGAATATCAATGACCAGGAGGGAAAGCAGGATAGGGCAAGGTTCAGATCTGTTGTTCATAAGGTCGCGGAGTTGTAGAAGACCTGACAGCACCTAACAACAAGAACATCAGAAAAACAACCTTCCATTGACAACTTCAATCTTTATTCCATTTATCATAATATTGCTTAATGCAATCCAGCTGTGAGACTTTATGTTGACGTGTAGCTGAGTCCTTGAGTTTATCCAGAAGTGCTTCAAGACCTCCTTATTGTCATCAAGCAAGGTTGTATCCGCTGCATATCACAGGTTAGTAAGTATTTCTCTAGTCCTGATGTATTTTTCTTGCTATGGTACAGCTTCTAAGATTATTTGCTTACTATATACTGATTCAAATAAGTATGCTAAGAATAAGCAACCCCAAGTCAAACCTTTCTGGTCTATAATGTACATCTTTTGGCTTTTTTGTTTCATAGGCAAGATCCAAAAAGTCACACTACTGTTGTTGTTAGGTGCCATTGAATTGAGTATGACTTAAAGTGATCCTTTAATAATCTTTCTGAACACATCCTCACAATGTCTGACACACTCAAGCCCATTGCCTCAGTCACCGTAGCAACCCACCTAGTTGAGGGACTTCCTCTCTTTCACTGACCCTCCACCTTCCCAAGCCTGATGTCCCTCTCCAAGGAATAATCTCTCCTGACAACATGACAAAAGTATGTGAGATGAAGCTTCATCATGTTTGCCTCCAAGGAGCACTCTGAGTGTACCCTCTCCAAGATCTATCTGTTAGTCCTTTTGGCAGTCCATGGATCTTCAATATTCTTCTCCACGACCACAAGTCAAAGGCATCAATTCTTTTGTCATCCTTATTCATTGTTCAGCTCTCAGAATCATAGCAAGTGACTGAAAAGACCATGGCCTGAAAGAGGTGCACCTTAGTCCTCACACTGCCATCATTACTCCTCATAGTGAATTACTGAGAGGTGCCTGACTGTAGATTTTCCCAGTGCAATACGTCTCCAATCTCTTGACTGCTGGCATCAAGTGTACTGATTGTGGATCCAAGTAAGAAGTCATTGACAGTCCCAATCCTTTCTCCATCCATCATGATGTTGCTTATCAATCCAGTGGCGAGGGTTTTTATTTTCTTGACTCTGAGATGCAATCCATATTGAAGGCTGTTTGACCTTCCCCAACAAGTGCTTAAAGACCTCTCAAGTTTCAACAAGCAATGTGTGTCATCTGCACAATGAAGGTTATCGATGAGTCTTCCTCCAATCCTGATGCCACATTTTTATTCATAGAGTCCAGCTTCTCAAATAATTGCCTCAACATATAGATTATACAGTTATGGAGAAAGAATACAATCAGCACACAGCCTAATTTTTTTTAATTTTTTAAATTTTATTAGTGTGTGTGTGTGTGTGTGTGTGTGTACCGCCAAATCAGATCTGATTGCCCCTCCTTCTCCGGCAGAGCATCTGGTGGATTTGAACCGCCTATCTCTGGGATTGCAGTGCAGCTTCTTGCCACTAGGCCACAAGAGATCCCCCACACTGCCTAATTTTAAACCACGCAGTGTTCCCTTGTTCCATTATAGATTCTGTGTTTCAATTATATCAGGCTGTGAGGGAAAAGCTTAAACCTCGGGTAATGTTTCTAAAGTATCAGCCATATTACTTGATTGTGAACTAAAACGGAACATTTTTTGCAGAAACAGCAGCTAGAACAAGAACAAGCGCCACCATGTGCCTCAGTGTGGCAGTGCTACCAAGGAAGACTAAATTTATAACTGGATATGAAAGATAGTATTCAACGTCAAAATGGCATTAATATGATTCTGCTTCATGCTAACACCACGTGTCAGAATAGCACTGTGCTCCTCAGAGGTCCTGGTAGTTTATTTTTTGGAGTGGACCACGTCTTTCTTCCGGTACATATGGGTAGACTACAACCTCCAATGTTTCAATTAGCAGTTCCATTTGTTGACTGTTTACCCAACTCAAAAACTTCAAGATAGCCAGTACCCCTTTTTTGCATATCTATACAGCTGGGCCTGCTCGGTGGGCAGTGCTGAAGGCACACGTCCAAGCTCAGCCTGACTCTTCACTATCGTATTCCTCTTACTTCCTCTCCAATGGATCCAGGTGATCGCCTGATACTCAAAGTTTCCAAATTGAACAGAAACCTTTCAGCAAAGGGGACAAGCTTGTTACCTCAGAGTACTGATCTGATAGTTGTTGTTGTTATGTGCCGTCAAGTCGTTTGCGACTCATAGCCACCCTATGCACAACAGCCCTAAACCCTGCTCTATCCTGCGCCAACCGCACTGCCTCTGACACACCCATACCGATTACCGAATTAATCCATCTCATAGAGGGTCTTCCCCTCCTGCGCTGTCCCTCCACCCTCCCAAGCATGATGTCCCTCTCCAAGGACCCGTCTGATAGGGATGGGAAAATCAGTAATCAGCTATCTAAAATGAGGATATTAAGGCATGAGGCGTGAAAATAGCTGGCTTATACATTTTCATGAATGTAGTTATTAGT